GCATAACAAGGAACTCATAGTGTCTATACCGTGTACGGAATGCTGTCTTCGGGATATCCTCATCCCTTACCCGCAACTGATAATAGTCAGACCTCAAGTCAATCTTGGAGAAACAACTGGCTCCCCTCAACTGATCAAATAAATCATCTATCCTTGGCAAAGGATACTTGTTCTTGATGGTGGCGCGATTCAACTTCCGATAATCGATGCACAACCTCAAAGAACCGTCTTTCTTCTTAGCAAACAAGACCGGTGCGCCCCATGGTGACACACTCGGTCGGATGAAACCTTTCATCCTCAAATCATCAAGCTGTCTTTTTAATTCCTCCAATTCAATTGGTGCCATACGATACGGTGCCATAGAAATCGGCACAGTACCTGGCATTAACTCAATAGAGAACTCCACTTCTTGGTGTGGAGGCAACTCTGTCAAATCCTCCGGAAACACATCCAGAAAATCACGAACAACTGTAGGATAATATTCTTCCACAACATCATCCTCTTCGGCTATAAGGGTAGCCAAAAAGTAATCACCACGACTCCGTCCACGAATTCCATAAAATGATGAAATGTGGGAATCACTCCGATCTCCCACGAAAAAGAAACAGTCTCCCTCAGGAGTACAAACTGTAACCTTTCCTCTGAAACAGTCGATCGTGGCTTGAAAAGAAGCTAACCAATCCATCCCGAGAATGACATCAAAGCTAGTCATTTCTAAGAGGATAAGGTCAAACACAAAAGTCCGCCCGGCTATCACAATGGAACAGTCCTTCACGACTCGGCTCAAAGACACTGAAACTCCAACTGGCGTATCAACACATAACGCCCGATCCATAAAACTGACCTCTAACCCCGATGCAAGTGCAAATGATGATGAAATGAAAGAATGAGATGCACCAGAATCAAACAAAACATGGGCCCAAGAACCAAACATTGGAAATATACCTCGGAGAACTGAAGATCCAGGAGATGCATCAGTCGGTGCAAGGGAAAAGACACGCCCATGCGGTGCCTGTGCCTGTGAACTACTAATCTGAACACCAGACTGTTGTGCCTACACAGTAGGAGTATCCTTCCTAGCTGGTCGTGAACCCTGAGAAAATAAGGCAGGCTGTGGTAGTGGTGGCGGTGGTCTGAAACCTGATTGAACCGTAGCCGACTGTAACGGCCTCTGCCGTGACCCTCTGCCACTAGTGGTGCCTGCTCCCTGACTCGGACAGTCCCGAATCAAATGGCCCTGCTGGCCACACCCATAACAAGCCTTCGGAGCTGAAGAAACTGAAGTCAATCTCATGGGACAACTGGACTTGTAATGCCCAGGCTGCTGACATTGAAAGCAAACAACTACACTCCTATCAGACCCAGCTGGCAACGGAGTGGTAGGAGCAGATCGTACAGACTGCTGTCCCTGAAACTGAGATGGACCGCCCCTGTTCCTTTTCCAAGAAGATCCTTCTGAAGATGGCCCTGCACCCCTCTTTTACTTCAACTGCTCTCTTCTTACATCTTTCTCTTTATTATCGGCTTCCAGCATCAAAGCCCTTTCCACTGCTTCAGAGTAAACCTTAATGAACTGTGCCGTGACCAACGGCCTCATCCGATCATTAAGACCAGAAACAAACTTCCGAGTCTTGTTAACTTCATCTCTCACCATTTCTGAAGCAAAGCGAGAAAGTGAAGTGAACTTGTTTTCATATTCTGCCACTGACATGCTCCCTTGGATAAGGTTACGAAACTGGTCTTGTAACTCCCATCTTTTGGAAAGCGGGAAGTACTTTTCATAAAATAATTCCTTGAACTTGTCCCAACTCATCTCTTCTATCTTGTATCGGCTCGTAACCGACTTCCACCATAATTTAGCATCCTTAGCAAACTTATAAGTAGCTAGGATGATCTTCAAATGATCCTCTGTCACATCCATAGAAGTCAATTGAGTTTCAGCTTGCTCCATGTAGTCATCTGCTATCATTGGATCCGCACCGCCCTCAAACATAACCGGCATCAGCTGAGAAAACCCCTTAATAATCTTGAGACGCTTCTGAGCTGGCGTCTCCTCAACTTAAACTGTAGGTTGTGGTGCCAACTGCGACTGAGAAGCAATCGTTGCCCTCACGACATTTTGCAACAAACGATTAAACTCCAGTGCCACAGAACCTTCACCCACTTCTACGGGTGCTTCAACATTATCCCTCCTTGTGGGGACAGCTCTCGGGGGAATCAAGTCCCTAAGAAGTGTGTCCTCATCATTTAGCTCCTCCGGATTGGAGCTGGAGCTCTCACCAACATCACCCCTAGTCGGTCTAGGGCCAACTTCCCTGATTTCCTCACGCCGTGACATCGTTCTATAAAACAAATGAAACAATTCAATAACGATAACACTAAGGTCCAACCGTGAACAACCCAACGCAAAAACATACTGTACAAACATTTAGCATGTAATACTATGCAATGAACACATTAATGTAAGCATATAAACACATAAGCACGTAAGTAAGTAAGCGGTTAAGCATGCTTTTTCACATAGCAAAACACTTTTCCAAACAAGGAAATAACAATGCAAATGACTTCCCAGACAACCCTAGGCAAACCTCTACCCATCGTCCTAATGGTATTCGAACCATGGCTCTGATACCAAATTTGTAACGACCCTAAACTAAAACCATTTATACAAAAATTTTGGCATGACCTCCCCTAAAAGTGGTCCTTCAACAACTTGTCCCAATACACAAAACAAAAAATATATATATATACTCCAGCATCCCATTCATTACACCTCAACATAGTTCCTCTCATGGTAGAACATGCACACACCAATTAATCCAAATTAACATAATTACAGTCCCAAAATATATGGTTAAGATCTAAAGTCCATGTCTTACAACGTTGCATGATACAATTACATAGAAATATATACCATGATTCCATTAGTTTCATTTACATTAAACAAAAGATAAGTTCGTTCTTAAATTACAAGGCCATGAATACTAACTTAGTTACATTTCCACAACTATGAATATACATAGAATGGTCAAAATACAAAATAGCAAACAACCTTCTAACAATTTTCAAGTTTGCGGAGGATTGTCATCCGCCGTTTCTTTGCCATGACCTGAAAAAAATAATAAGTATGCAGGGTGAGCTATATGCTCAGTAGGTGACACTTAAGACACGCATCTTGTGTCCCCGTGAATCCAAACATAGAATAGGTCAATGGGAATGGGGATCATACAATATCGGGATAATACAACATTCCAATCAAACTCAAGTACAAACAATGCAATGCCATGAAATGCGAATGCATGCCGATGTCGCTCCCCGTTTTCACATTTAAAATCCATCTCTTTCAAACTGTTAATATAACCCGCCCTTTGCTGACCCCGCAGCGACACGAGAGGAGGATTGGCTAGTGTCCCTGACCCTTGGTAACCCCGCGGCGTCATTATGGGGCCCAGCTAGCTCAACCACGCTAGGGCGACTCCCTAGTCCCCTCTAGGCTATATTAACACTCCGGCCCTTTGGTACCCCCGCGGCAACCGGGTTTTCCAAAAACACTTTCATCAAAATACTTTTCCCCAAAACTCCCTATTTTCATTTCAAAAACAATCTTCCCAATCATGTCTCATGGTATGCATGTACATCATGTTCTTAATGCCATGGAAGTGAAGGCTTTCACATTATACAATTGTGCATACATTACAAGTACTCTAGGGAAATTACACATGCCATCCCATATCATTCTAGCAAGTTTTACAACAATATAAGCATGGTAAATCAATTTATCAGACAAGGAAATTAGTCAAATAAACATGTTCTCATACAACTCAAGTAACACATTTAATCATAACCTCACATATAACACTTACATCATCTTTAATACAATTAATTCAAAAATAAGCATGCTTTTCAACAATTTAGGAGGTATAATTTACAAAAGAGCAAGAACATCATGAGTTAAGGGCCCCTACCTCAAGATTGCACAAAACCCTTAAAATGGGTCTTGGAATTCAAACTCCAAGAAGGGCACCAAATCTAGAATTGTTCGTATGGATGCGTAGAGCTCGTCGTGGGCTGCGTTTTGCCTCAAACGGCACCTAAATCCGCCAAGAAATGAGGGAGAAATCAAGCTTAATTGTGTAGAAGAAAAAAAAGAAAAGCAAGTGGGCAAAGAGGGAGTAAACCGAGAGAGTAGAAGAAAAAAAAAACGGTGGGTCTGTAATGACCCATTACCCATTCCATAGACTTAAAATTGGAGTGGGTCCCACCTTTTTTTTTTTTTTTTTTTTATCTTTTTCTTTTACTTTTAAATTGCACCACACACAGACATTACAGTTCATCCAACCTGAGTTGGACACAAGCATTGTCTAAGTTGTATAACTCTAAGATCAATTTATGTGAAAAGAAAGATTAATTAGATTGACTATATATTAGATATTAAAAAGTCACTTTTATATTTTTCCCTAAGAACTCAAATTATATTGAGCCGCCTTGAATTTATAAATAATTTAAAATTGATCGTAGTACATTAAATTTTCTTGAACTTTAAGTATAAATTGTATAACTGTAAGATCAATTATGTGACAAGAAAAATTAATTGAATTGATTATATATTAGATATTAAAAAGCTATTTTTATATTTTTGACCTAAGACTTCAAACTATATTGAGCCGCCCCTATGCCTGAGTTTATAAACAATCTAAAATTGGTTGCATTTAAGTCGTACATGCTTTTTTTTTTTTTTTTTTTTTTTTTCCGAAAATTAAAACAATTTTCATTGATTAAAAGATATTCCAAATTCCATTCCGGTGGCTTCAATAGGCGGCCCGGAAGTCGTACATGCTTGTCATTGTTGAAAAAATGGATTAACAAATTCTGCTTCACGACATAAGATGGGCCATATCTTATAATTTTTTATCTTTGAATAGTAACATTAATATTTTGAGTAAGAACATCAGTTGTTGACCTTTTAACATGTGCATCCTCTATAGTCTATACATAGAAAGATAAAGGCAATTGCATGACAACAATACAATTACACTGCAAAAAGACAGTTCTTGTTTCTGCAAGTCATGGCTGAAACTATTGTAAGTGAAGCAACCTCTCTCTTCTTTCCTATACTACTCTTATCGTCTATCATCTTTCTCACCCTAAAGCATTTCAAGTCTTATTTCCTATCAAAAACTAGTCTCCCACTTCCTCCAGGACCAACTCCATGGCCAATCTTGGGCAATATTCCTCATATGGGAAAAAAGCCTCACGTCACTCTAGCAAACTTTGCTCGCTCATATGGCCCTCTCATGTCACTTAGAATAGGAACTCAAACCATGGTCATCGGATCATCGATAAGTGCTGCAGTGGAAATTCTCAAAACGCATGATCGCGTCTTATCGGCGCGAAGTGTTCCTCATGCATTTCCAGCCAAGAGCCCAAAATTGAATCATGTATCAGTCGGATGGGCACTGGAGTGCAATGATAGATGGAAGCATGTACGAACAATATGCCGAACTGAGCTCTTCTCGGCCAAGGCAATGGAGTCTCAAGCATGTTTGAGAGATAAAAAGGTATCGGAAATGGTGGAGTTTTTGAATGGGAAAGAGGGAGAGAAAGTAAAAGTTGGAGAAGTGGTTTTTGCCACTGTGTTTAACGTGTTGAGTAATGCTCTAATATCGAGTGATTTTATGAGATTCGAGAAGGAGATTGTGGATAGAGGGTTGAAGGATCTTTTGGGAGAATATATGGAGGTGACTGGAGCTCCAAATCTGTCTGATTTTTATCCAATTTTAGGTGCATTAGATCTTCAGGGTTTAAACAAGAATGCAATGGAAGTGTTTAGGAGGGTCTGTGCTACGTGGGATCCCATTATCGAAGACAGGAGAGAAGGAAGAAGAGGCAATGCATCAAGCCAAAAGGACTTCTTGGACGCCCTCATCGACAATTCTTGTACCAATGATCAAATCAACTATCTGCTTCTGGTTTGCTCTCTCCTCTCCTCTCCTCTCAGTCCTTTTCTTACAATTGAAATAAGAACAACCAAACAGGCTCCTAGTCTGGGGGAAGATAATATCTTCCAGTGTCATAAGGAGAGCTTATACATTCTGAGCAATTTGATGTCAATTTTTATTTAATAGTTCATTAATTGGTTGTAGTTCACTACTGGTCCCTGAATAGGTTCGCGTCGCAATTGAGAATATCTGGTGATTGGAATAGGATAAGTTGGATAACATAAGGTTTGCTTAATATATACCAAATATTTTTAATATAAACTAAATTTTAATAGCAAATTTGTAATTTAACAATATTAATAAAGCAGGATGACCCTTTCTAACCCTGCTCCAACTACACGGGTTTCAATTCTAACTCCATTTTGGCCTTCAAAATCACTTAACAACCCCTAACCATTCAAAACGGGACAAGGCGGGGCGGAGTGATTATCTAGTGGGGCGGGGTCTCTTCCCTCCCAAAATGAGAGTCAAATTTTGACATAGAATAGAATGTCTGATTAACTAGAACAAGGTATAACTAGCTTTGTCAAGCTTGAACAGGGCTAGTTCAGTTTGGTATGCTCAGTGACCCTACAAATTACAATGATATGGTGGATAAAATTAGTATGGCATAGTTTTTCTTTTCTATTTAGATTTGAATTCCAATTGTTTGGCATATAATCTAAAAATCATCACACTCATGTATTTTCAGGAGCTATTCGCTGCTGGTACAGACTCTAGTAGCAATACGATTGAGTGGGCGATGGCAGAACTAATAAAAAGTCCAGAATCCATGAAAAAAGTCCGCGAAGAAATGACGAGAGAAATCAAACAAGATTTGCTAAAAGAATCCCATCTACCTCACCTACATTACCTTCAAGCCTGTTTCAAAGAAACTTTGAGATTGCACCCTCCAGCACCACTTCTAGTTCCTCGCCGCGCACTTGACTCATGCAAAGTGATGAATTATGCCATTCCCAAGAATTCTCTAGTATTAGTAAATGTTTGGGCGATTGGGCGAGACCCCGTGATTTGGGAAGATCCATTGAAATTTAAGCCAGAGAGGTTCCTCAACTCGACTTTGGATTTCAAAGGGAATGATTTTGAGTTCTTACCCTTTGGCGCGGGAAGAAGAATCTGCCCTGCCTTGCCCTTGGCAGCAAAGAATTTTCCTTTCATACTCGCTTCATTGATTCATTACTTTGAATGGTCACTTCCACATGGAAATGATCCAGATGAGCTAGACATGAATGAGAAGGTTGCTATAACATTGCAGAAGGAACTACCCTTGGTCCTCATTCCCAAAGTTAAGAAATGACCAAATTCCTAAAGTTAAGAAATGACCAACAGATTGATCCAATCTTCATACTATTATAATAATCACTTGTGTACGGTTTATTATGTAAAATATGGTTCATTTTACCAGTTTTCAACTATGTAAGCTTATTTTTAATTTTCAATACATATTTGTATCAATAAAAGAGAGCTTATTATGATCAATCGCATGTTAATTTAAATTTAAAGTGGTGAGTTTCAAAATTTTGTTTGTTAGAAGGTCGATTTGTGTGCCCTTTGTTCTATTTCTCACAGCAATCTTCAAATGATGTAAGATGACATCTAAACTAAAAATCAATTAGCTAGTTGGATTAAGACTCAACTCATACGTTCAATTCTGCTCTTTTGTAATCCAAATAAAAATCGCTTGTATAAAGTTACAGTGACTGGACATGTGTATATTTTTTTATATAAAACATTAGCTTTTGTCAAAGATGACCATGTGATTGCAAGTGAACAGTCCACACAGGCAGTTGATATTTGTTGAAAATCTTTTAAATGGAATGAGCATAATGGGTTACGGGTCTAATTTTATTTCAACATGACAGTCAAATTAGAGACAATTTAAATTCAACACTGTTTATGTTATTGTTATTATATGTGTAAAGGAGATCGTGGAGTTTTATTATTATTATTATTTAAAAAAAAATATAGAAATTTTAGAATAGAAGCATAATGGGTCATATTCTAAAACTCAACTTTGCATTGGAAAGCCCAGGTGAGGTGGAGCTGATAATTTTTTTCTCGCATCTCCAAAGCCCTAACCTACACAAAACCCTTCTTTCCGTTCAGTTTACAAATCAAACCCAAAATCAGAAGCAGAGATGTCGGAAATGGCGACGACAGATCCAGACGGATCGACGGAGTTCGCATGACAGGGAGGTGCGTGGTCCCAATCGCTCTGATTCCGGCCCACCGGTGTAAGATAAATACTATTTCATTGTTGTACGAGAAATGCTAGCATTTGATCGTGGAGTTTCCTTATCATGTTTGGTGTGGAGCAATTTTCCTTCTCTCGAGAGAAGGAGATCATTACTCTATATATGCATATAGGTGTGTGTGTGTGTGTGTATATATATATATATATATATATAGGTTCATTACTCTGTGATTTTAAATTTTTAAATTAAATTTTCAGCAAGGTTAATATACTAAATTTCTATATTCTGTTAACAGATATTAACGTCGGTCACTAGTGAGGGATGTAATTGTAATTTTCAAAGCACAGGCAGATCCGTGTTATTTTCACTTCCTAGAAGGGGAGGTACCTTCTTTTTAACTCTGCATTATATCACATTTCTAGCTTTGTGTTTATGGTTATTACCTGTGGGATTGGAAAAAATATATTTTTTTTCTAGTTAGGTACTCACACACACGTGCCTCCACATGCTCGAACTCCTGACCTCTTTTTGAGAAGGAGAGGTTTGGTACCGTTAGGTCACGGCATGTCGGTGATTGAAAAAAATATTTGTTAAAACACCTTCAATAATTGCCTTCTAATACACAGTATCAGTGTGGTTTGATTGTCAACAAATATATAGAGAGAGAAAGAGACGGTATAGGATACATAATCTAAATTTTCTTTACATAGTTATCTCTTATGAGCAATACGTCAGTTGTTGACCACCAAACATTTATCCTCTATAGAAAAATTAAGCTAAATGACAACAATACGTTACACTGCAAAAAGCAAGCTCTTCTAATACTGCAAGTCATGGCTGAAACTATGGTAAGAGAAGCAACCTATCTCTTCTTTCCTATACTCCTCTTACCCGTCATCTTCTTCATCCTAAAGCATTTTAAATCTTATTTCCTATCAAAAAGTGGTCTACCACTGCCACCAGGACCAAGTCCATGGCCAATATTGGGCAATATTCCTCATATGGGAAAAAAACCTCACATCACTCTAGCAAACTTTGCTCGGTCATATGGTCCACTCATGTCACTGAGACTAGGTGCTCAAATATTGATCATCGGATCATCGAAAACTGCTGCAGAGGAAATTCTCAAGACCCATGATCGGATCTTATCTGCACGATATGTTCCTAGTGCAGTACCAGCTAAGAGCTCAAAATTCAATCATTTGTCGCTTGGATGGGCACTGGAGTGCAATGATAGATGGAAAAATTTAAGAACAATATGCAGAACTGAGCTCTTCTCGGGCAAGGCAATTGAGTCACAAGCATGTTTGAGAGAGAAAAAGGTAATGGACATGGTGAAGTTTTTGGGTGGAAAGGAGGGAAAGGAAGTGAAAGTTGGAGAATTGGGTTTTGCCACTTTGTTTAACATGTTGAGTATTGTTTTGATATCAAGAGATTTTATTAGCTTGGAGAAAGAGAGTGTGGATGGAGGGATGAAGGGTCTTGTAGGAAAATATGTTGAATTAATTTCAGCTCCAAATCTGCCTGATTTTTATCCAATTTTAGGTGCGTTAGATCTTCAAGGTTTAAACAAGAAGGCAAAGGAAGTGTTTGTGAGGATCTGTGAGACGTGGGAGCCCATTATCGAAGACAGAAGAGAAGGAAGAAAAGGCAATGCTTCAAGCCAAAAGGACTTCTTGGACGTCCTCATCAACAATTCGTGTACCAATGATCAAATCAACTATCTCCTCCTGGTTTGCTCTCTTGTCTCCTCTATTATGCATATACACACGGATTAATATAAGGCTATATACTAGTGGCAAAACTAGCAAATCCTTTTCCTACACTTACAAACAGCCACAGAAGGCTCATAGTTTGGGGGAGAGAGAATGTCCTCCAGTGTGATAAGGAAACCTTGGTCATGGGATATTATTTATTTTATCAGGGCTGGTAAACAAGCAAGCTTATTCTGAGCAATTTGAGGTCAATTTTTGTTAAACTGTTCATTAATTGGATGTGGTTCACCAGTCTAGATTCAAGTTTCAGTTTTGTTAAATACTGGGCAGGGCTTGAATTAGCTCATGATCAGCTGATGCAAATGGCATGCAGTTGAGATAACATAACCCTCTAAGAAAATTACAATAAGGTAAATGTTAAAGGAAAATCAGGATGTACTATAAAATCCATGAACTCTAATGAGGAATTCCATCAAAATTAGAGTTCGGTTTTGCATTTTGGAAGTAATTTCCTTTCAATTGAAATCATATCAAAACCATATTTGCTCTCAAAAGCAGTAAGGTACTACCAAAATGTAAACTGACTGGTGCCAGGTTAGAGGGCTATGTAATGAGTCAAATTTTGAGTCTTTGACATGAATGGAATGCCAGATTAATTAGAGCAAGGCACAACTAGCCTTGTCAAGCTTGAACAGGACTAGTTCGGCTTCGTTCATGGTCAGGTTTTTCCATACTGTTAGCTGTTACACCACAAATTACAATGATATGGAGAAAATTATTATGGCATAGTTTTCTTTTTCTATTAAGGTTTCAATTCCAATTGTTTAGGATATAATCTAAAAAAGTGAGACCAATCATTCACACCATGCATTGTCAGGAGCTATTCTCTGCTGGTACAGACACTAGTACCTCAACGGTTGAGTGGGCAATGGCAGAACTGATAAAAAGTCCAGAATGCATTAAGAAAATCCGCGAAGAATTGACAAGAGAAATCAAACAAGATTTTGTAAAAGAATCCCATCTACCTCAGCTACATTACCTTCAAGCCTGTTTCAAAGAAACTCTGAGGTTGCACCCTCCAGCACCATTTCTGCTTCCTTGCCGTGCACCTGAATCGTGTAGAGTGATGAATTATGCCATTCCTAAGAATTGTCAAGTACTAGTAAATGTTTGGGCTATTGGACGAGACCCCATGATTTGGGAAGATCCATTGAAATTTAAGCCAGAGCGATTCCTCAACTCCACATTAGATTTCAAAGGGAATGATTTTGAGTTCTTACCCTTTGGTGCAGGAAGAAGGATCTGTGCTGGCCTGCCTATGGCAGCAAAGCAGCTTCCTTTGATACTTGCTTCACTGATTCATTCTTTTGATTGGTCACTTCCACATGGAAATGCTCCTAATGAGCTAGACATGAACGAGAAGGTTGCTGTGATATTGCGGAAGGAACATCCCTTGGTCCTCATTCCCAAAATTAAGAAATGACCAACAGATTGTTCCAATCTTCCTACCATGAATACTGTTATGATCACTTTTATATGTTTATCTAAAATATGGCTCATTATATCAGTTGTCAACTATGTAAGCTTACTTTCAATATTTCAAGTACACACTTGTATCAATAAAAGATGGCTCATTATGTTCACTTGTATCAATGGTTTTCTGTGGTCATCAGGAAAGCACATGAGCAGTAGATTTGTATTACAAGATTAATTTCACGTTGTGAATTTCAAAACTCAATTCATTTCTAAGAAGGTCAATTAGTGTGCACTTAGTTCTGTTTTCCTCCTCAATCCTCAAATAATATAAAGTGACATCTACCATTCAAATATATATATATATATATATCTATAAAGTGACATCTAAACTGAAAACCATTCCATTGGTTGCTTATATCTGTACGCTCTTTCTTACCTTGGATTAGAGTGGTTTAGAACATTATTTTTACCATTATAAGTTTATAACTTTTAACAAATATTGATTTTAGGGAACTAGGGTAATTTGTAGATTTTGGCCTTCACATGAATGAAAACCAGTGCCAGTTATCTTGTTGCTGAAAGCTGAACTTTATAATGTTGTAGATTATACACTAAACCTCAAAGTCAATTTCTGTACAGAAATTGATTTGTAAGCTGTTCTACCCACTGGAACTTTCCACCATGTAGTTGGTGTTCCCCCTCGAACTTGCTACTTGTCATCTTCTACTACAATCACAAATCTTAACCAAACAGTGAAAAGCTTTAATACCCCTTTTTTATTCATAAATGTTGTGCACCACAAACAGCCATAGGATGTTTCAAAAATCAGCTAATAACCAACACAATCACATAAACACTCAAAATTTACATGTTCTAGCAATGTGGCTATCGTTCACAGAGGAGAGGAAATCAAAATACACCATCTTCTGCCTAATGGACACTTTATTATTGGGGTCCTTCCGAATATGGTAGATAATGGAAGCAAAAAGGATTATCCACAGGAGGACACCATAGAATAGTCATCCAAATAAATTCTCAAAAGCTGATTGAGGGAAGTGACTATTTTCTAATCATTTAAACTCATTTTCCAGACCTTGACAGATTCTAGGCTTTCTCTCAAGATATGAGCCTATCATTGCCTAGTGCAATTGTAGAAGCTCATACTGACGAGCACGAAATTGTAGGTTCGGGTTTGAGAGCAGTCATTCTGTTAAAAGATAATGCCAAAGGGTAAGTTGTCTCCAGGTTTCCTTTCCTAGCAGTCATGTATGCTGAGTTATTGTGCACTTTCTAGACAGTAGGCTTCCAGCTTCCACTATTCTGATTGTTCATTCTAGATTTTCTGCCATAAGCAGACTTGGTTGTGAAGGGGAAAATTTCAGTTAAGTTGGTGACAAGTGAGTGAAAAATGCACAATGCATACCAAAATTGTTTGAAACTTGTTGGAACAGATCAATGATGAATTTATATTGTAAAACTATCAACTGTTCCTGAGTCTCAACTTTGAGTGGATTTCGGTAAAGCCATTACAATCATATTGATATATCACATCCAACGAGACCACATAACTGGAGAGCACCATCTTGCCCATTCCTACAAATTACAATGACAGATGACGTATAATTATTGCTCTTGAAGAAGTGGTGGGTGCTTTAGAATAAAAAAAGGCCAACTGTGTTAAAATAAGTCAACTTTGGATACAAGTTGCAGCTTGCAAATCTTCCAAAGATAGGAAAGAGAAACTGTGCCCCGCCCGAATTTTCGACATGCACCTGAGGGGTAAATGTTTTGGAAAATTAAATTATTTTTAAAATGGAACAGTTAAACTAAAATAATAGCTCAATGCGACGAAATTATTTGACTTAAGGGTCTTATGTGAAAATTTATGGAGTGGCTACCTAACATTGGATTTTGGTTTGTCAAGTTACTTTCAAAATATATATATTTTATAAAATATTATTTTTTTGAATATTGTCCAAGATATTTTAAAAATGCATGTAATGATCTTGATTTTTTTCTATTTTCCATTTTCTAGGATTTTTTGATTTTTCTGTTTTTATCTTGTCTCGTTTTACGTGTTGGACACTGTGGGATGTGCTGGGTGTGTGAGAATTGGTTGGAACATTTCTTTGAGTTCAGGACTCTTAGAAATGCATTAATTGCCATTTTAGTATTTTTTCTTTTTTTCCGGGAAGGTGGGACCCGTTATCGAAGTCGTTGAGCACGGAGATTTTAATTCGGGTTCATTGCAATTCATTCATTATTAATTAATGCATTTTTGTGTGGTAGCATGTTTAATTTATTGGTTGTAATTTGATTTGTGTATATATATAAGTTAATGTTAGTGGAGATATTTTCTTAAGGCATGGGATCCACCATTATGATATATCATTGTATATGGCCTAAAGTCTGTCAGCAGTCTCATTTTTCTCATTCTTCACGCAGCCTCTTTCTCTCTCCTACATGAAATCTATTTTTCTCTCACTAAATCACAAATTATAAAGCTTGATTTCATCATCTTTCATTTGGAATTCGATTTTGTCATAAAAGGCAAAGTTGACGAGCTTGTCGAGGATTATGTTTTGATCGGAGTTGATCTTGATTTGCCCATCCTTGAATTTTGAATTTTTGAACTAAAATTTAGGTTTTCTTTATTTCTTGAGGTAGGAATATTTTAATGTGATGACCAGGATTTTTGTAGATTTGAATTTATAATTTGAATTTATTATTATTATTACTTTATTTTTATTTTATTTTTGAGTATGTTTAAGTGGAGGTTTATTCTTGTTATTTTATACAGTTCATATATACACGTGGTCTGTTGTGGGATGCTTGCCGCGGAAGTAGAAAGAAATGAGGAGAAAATTGAGATTTTGTGTTGCGGGTCCCATGATAATTGATTTGGTAAGTTTTTATTATATATAGATATATATGTATTTGCACCAAAGTGATAAGGAGGAGTCGTAACGGAGAAAAGAAAAAAAATGTGATGTTGGTGGGCTCCACTTAGTTATTAAATGGGGCAAGACTTTTTGACTTTGTTTTTTTATCAGGTGGCTTGGAATTGATTTGGATGTAAGATAAGTTTCTAAATATATATATATAAAATATGATATGATGGATGGAGTTGGTGAATGGGTTAGTTTTTGATTTGATTACTTATATATATATATATATATATATATATATAAATGGGTTATGGTGATAAGAGAGAAGGCAACCGAATGATGGGTGATGATAATGAAATTGTGGTGACGATATGTGTACTTGCAGGGCCCACTGAAGATTTATTTTTGGCCAAAATTTTCTTCTTGCTTTGTCTCCTTCACGTGGCTTATTTTGTGGTGTGGGTTTGATGAATGAAAAGAAGGCATGGGTGGTGGGGTCCACTTATTTATTACTTGTTGGGTGAGCTGTATGGTTTGGGTCGGTGGAATGGCCTATTTATTGTGTTGTGTGCACTGCCAAGTAAAAAGGACAGATGAGGAAAGTAAGAGAAATTAGAGTGAGCAAAGAGACAAACAGAGAGTCTGAGGACAGAGGTTCGAGAGTCTGCAGAGGAGTTTGGGAGCTTGAAGCTTGGTGATTTAGTGAGGAAATCTCTTTTTAGTGTAGGGTTCTCTATACCTTGAATGACATGCATATGTATTTTTTCTATTGGGACTTTTGTCTCACCACCCTCCAGTTTCAAGTACCGAAGATGAACGGGGATTGCTAGATTCGGGTTTAGTACTGAAGAGTCGGCGTTGCAGGATTGATTTTATTATTTGGAGAATTTTTTTGTATTTTTGAGGAAGCTGGCTTTGTATAAAAGATGGTATTTTTATTGTGATCCTGAGTGTATTTTGATATATTTGTATTTGTTTATTAGAATTTTCGGGGCGTGACATCTAATCCATGATCTCTTTGATTCTAGTGACGCATTTTTCTATATATGATGTATAATATGCTTAATTGTGGTTATTTCTTAAGAATTTGTTATAAAGTAATATATATATATATATATATATATATATATATATATATATATATATTGTTTATCCATGTGAGTTTTATGTGTAAGTGGTATGTGTATATGCAGTTTATTGAATTGATTTGAGAAGCATGTTTAGGTGATTGTGTTTTTATCCTTTATGCTTAGCTACTGAAATTTGGTTGTTAATGAGCATGTTATATTTTTATGAGAATTTCCTTGTTAAGCATATAACGTTGTAAGGTTGGATTGTATAAAATTATGACATTTGATAAGCACGAAGTATTCATGCATTCCATTGGGAAAGAAAAAGGGGAAATGTTTTGAAAAGCAAATAGAAATTATTTTGGGAAAAAATGTTTTGAAAAGGGTTTGCGAAAACTCGAACGCTTAGGAGGTGTCTAGTTGTTCATGGTGTTAATGTGATTTAGAGGGACTTAGGAAGAGACTCTAACGTGGTTGAGTTACCTAGGCCCAGAACGACGACATGGAGGTGCCATGTGGTCGGAGATAGCTAGCCAATCCTTCCCTCGTGGCGCCATAAAGGTGCTATTGGTCGGGTTGCATTAACGGTTTGGAATGGTGAAACAGAAATGTTTCAAAAATGGGAAGCGACATTGGCATGTCATTGTATTACATTGGCATGCATTGTATACATATAATTAGATGACCTGTTTTGTAGTTGTTGATGATATTGTTGTTGTTGTTATGTTTTTCCCCCGATTAATACGATCCCATTTACTTTTACCCTACGCTTGTGTGGATTCACGGGGTCATTAAGAGGTGTGTCTTAGACACCTCGTACTGAGCGGTTGTGTTCACCCCATTATATTAATTATATTTTTTCATGTCACAGGAAGAAATGGCGGACGACACTCCTCCACAAGTTTGATGAGTTAGTAGACTATTTTGACAATCTTTTTTAGTTGTGATCTCATTTTTTTTCGTATAATCCTTCGGGTGGCATGTATATTATGTATCGACCTTAGAATTGACTATAGTGCCCTTAGACGACCTCGGGTTCGGGTAAAGGCCCTGTTAGTGATTTGGACTCTCGGGTTCGGGTCGTTACAATATATTTTTTTATAGTGACTGCATATAAGTCTACGTAACTTAGATTCATTAAATCGGGGATTCGATTATGCCAGGGGAGGTGTTAGGCACCCCTAAGGCATCCGTAAAATATTATAGTTACCACATTTTAAAATAATATTCCCATATTTTTATCCCTAAAAAGTTCACGAAAGAGTTGCAATTGCATTAAAGAAAAAGAAATGCAAGCAATAAACATCCCTATAGTATGCGTATAGGGTATATAACCCCCTCTAGGTTCTCAAAAGTTCCCAACCTTTACTTTTGGTGTGAACAAGGGCCTGTTGTTAGTGGAGCGATTAAAAGACTAAAGTGCCATAGGGATGTTATTTGCCCAAAATGTAAACGTTAGGGGTGTTTTTGTGTTTCTCTGAAGGGTGTTATATATATATAGAGAGAGAGAGGGAGAAACTTACGGTGGAGTGGAGTGGACTGGAGTAAAAAGACCAGATAAAGCGATAATTTGGGAGTAGAAAGAGAAAAAGAGAGGCCAGAGAAAGAGGGTGATGGGTTTGCAAAAAGAGATGGAAATGTGATTGTAATGTTTTTGTTTTTCATTATTTTTTAATTTTTCAGAATTTCTGTCTCTGCAAGGGCATTTACGTCTTTTCACGTCGTGTACCGGACACCGTGAAGCGTGTCGTGTGTGTCGGAGAGTTGTTTGGGGCATTTCATTGAGTTTTAGGACTCTTTGAAATGCAAGGTTTGTCATTTTTACTTTTTTCAGTTTTTCGGGCCGGACAGTCCTGTGTGAGACCCGCTACCAGAATTGTTGCATACGAGGATTTTAGTCGGGTCCATTTGCATCATATTTATTTTATTTATTGTGTTTTAAGTGATTGTGAATTAAATGTGTATATGTAAGTGTGTGATGTAAAAAGAAAATAAAAATAAAAGGAAAAGAAATTGTTTTTGGTGGTGGGACCCACCACCACCTCTTTTATTATTTGGAAAGCCATTTAGGCCTCTCATTTTCTCTCATTCTCCCGTAGCTCTCTCCCCCTCCCCCACCCCCACCTCTTTTATTATTTGGAAGGCCATTTAGGCCTCTCATTTTCTCTCATTCTCCCGTAGCTCTCTCCCCCTCCTTATTCTTCTAGAGTTTTCTTTTTCTTTGGGGTTTCAAACTTCAAATCTTGATTCCTCCTTCACTACTTGGAATTTTTAGAAGCCGTTTGTGGCAATTTGAAGAGCTTGGCGAGACCTTCACGTTGATTCAAACAATTTCTTGTTTGGCCAACCTTGCAATTTCGAAAAGTCTAGGGTATAAATTGGGGATTTTCATCCAGCTTGAGGTAGGGGTTTTTAATTCCCACTTTCTTATACTTTTGTGAATTTTTCTACTATAATTGTTGTCAGGTATACTTAATTTGAGTTGATTGTTTCTTAAATGATTTAATTGTGTATATGAAGCATGTAGCTATGTGTATTGGTTTATTTGTATGAAAAACATGCCTAATTGTAAATTTTCTATGCCTATTGTGCTCGTTAACTTGCTAGAACTTATTAAATGGAAGCATGCTTATTTGTGTAATATGAAAATCCCTTATTGTTGTAACATTGAAAGTATGAGACACACATGCATATCATTGGGTATGAAAGAAGGAGAATGATTTGAAATGAAAGAAAAATGGATTTTTGGGGAAAGTTTTGATAAGATGGTTTTGAAAAAACTCGGACGCTGCGGAGGTACCAAAGGTCCGTTGAGTTAATGTAACCTAGAGGGAACTAGGGAAATCACCCTAACGTGGTTGAGCTATCTGACGCCGTGGAGGTACCAAGGGTCAGGGACAGTGAACAATCCTTCTCTCGTGTCACCGCGGAGTCACCAAGGGACAGGTTATATTAACAGTTTGAAAAATGATGGATTGGATTTTTAAAATGGGGAGCGACATGGCACGGTATTACACTTCATAGCACCATACTGTTCATTTGGACTTGAAACTGATGCTGTATTTCCTCGGCATAGCGTGATCCCGTTTTCTATATCTCTATTCATTGTTTAGATTCACGGAATTACAAGAGTGTGTCTTAGGCACAACCTACTGAGCAATATGCTCATCCTTTTATATTTAACATTTTTCAGGACACGAAAAAGAAGTAGCGGACGACAATCCACCCCATCCTTAGCTTGGGGAGTAGAAAAACGTTTCTTTTGCTATCTTTTATAATTGGGCCTAATTTTGTAAAGTGTTGACTCAAAATGTATTATTTTGCAACATGTGGAGTATTTAGGTTCATTTTGTATATGGCCATTGGGGAAATGTAATTAAGTTTTAATCACACTAAATCCTTTAGTGTATTTTATGTAACGTGTTGTAAATTACGTTAATAATGTGGTTGTTGTTATTGTATTGGGTGTTGAAATGTATTAAAATATGTACGTGAGTGTAGTGGTGTTAGGTGGTTGTTATCAAATGTTGGTGTATCTCGGTTTCCTTTGGATAGTGGGCATTGTGAATGTGGATAACCCAACCAGTCGACGTGAAATTCCATACGTCGACCGAATGACCTGAACCAGTCGACGTGAGTTTCCCACACGTCGACCGGTATCTTGGCAGTGAGTTTTTCCACTGTACACAACTTTAACCAGTTGACGTGTAGTCTCCCATACATCGACCGATTCCTGTGTAGTAAATGTTTGTGGCTTATTTTACCATTTTGCTCTTAACCACTAACTCAAGTGTATTGTCACGCATTAGATTACCCAATAAAATATAATAATTATATTTTAACCATAGAAAATACTACGTTGTCCCAAACTTTATTTTATTTATTATGTAATACGAGTAAATGACATTTATGTCCTTTGGGTCTCAAACCATTTGAATTGTGGCAAATTACCATCTTGTCCTTTTTAGACTTTAATTTATAAATTTAACGCGAAAGGACTATATTACCCTTGGATGATTTTGGGTCAAGCGAGGACCTGTTTGATGATCCGAATCCAGTGGATTTGGGTCGTTACAATGATTTATATATAAAATGGTATAAAGGGCATTTTGGGGAGAGTAAAAAGGTGTTTTAGAAATTTTATAACTTAAAATAGCCGTGTGCCACGCACATGACTTCTTAAAGGTCATTTTCTGACATAATATAGACATTAAGCCCTTTTTTGCCACATTTTTCAAACTTAACTGACTTCTATACCCAAAATAAAGGATAAGGGTGTTATTTGTCCAAAATGTAAACATTAATGGTGTTTTTCTCACTTTGACCTAAAGAAAATGGTTTTGATTTAAAAAAACAGACACTGCCGTCCTTTCCTATGTCAATACATATTATACGTATCATTCCAGGGTTTATAAAAAAATAATAATAATAATTATTATTATTAAATGAGATCATAACTACAAAGTAGGTCAAAAAAGTCCACTAACCTTTCAAGACCTGTAGAGGAGCATCGTCCGCCACTTTCTTCCTGTATACTGAAAATTGTTAATAATAAAGGGGTGAGTAAATTACTTAGTAGGTGGTGCCTAAGACACTGCCTGGAAGTGTAACCATACTCTCCATAAGTATAACAACTACCCTGGAAAGTACCAAATGGCCTCCTCTGTTGGTTAGCCTGTGGCTGACCCTGTCCTGCCTGCGGTCCCCCATTCTGTTGACGCTGAATAGGTGCCACATCCTTGGGAGCATCTGAACCACCCTTGTGCTTCTTCCAAGGTTGTTGTCCCTGGAATTTAGCCTTGTAGTTCTGTCGGTGTCAGTTCCCATTCCTTTTTCTTAGCTGACTGATTAGCAGAGTCTCTGTCACCCCGCTTCTCACCCTTGGCCTGTCTGATATCCACAGTCAACTAATACTGCTGTAGCACGGCGTCTACCACTTGAGCATAGGTAGTATAGGCTGGACTACCTGTAATAGCTCTCTTGATAGACCACATCAGGCCCTTGA